TTCCGCGTTCCGAACTACCCTTCCGCCCCGGCAGTTTAGGCCTATTAAGGGCGTTAATGTGAGCATCCGCTCGGCGCGGAATGCTCGTTAACGGTTCCGCCGGTCATGATGTTATGAAAAAATAACACCCAGGAGCGCCATAAAAACATACATGTAACATTCGCCCGGAAGATACATATCGACGGATAACAAAACTAAGTCTTAAGACGACTGGCTAGCGTCTAAACAGAGCTTTGCATGTTTTTCACCGTCTCTACCAAGCCAGTACTTTTCGGTGGTCTTTTCTAACATCGGGTCGACAAAAACGTTACTGTTCTCCGGCTTCGAACAGAACGCTCAAATTAACTGAATTACATGCAAAAATAGTGAGCTCATGGCTGGGTCTCAGTATCCCCAGACCACGAGGTCACTCCTAAAAACAGGGCTACTACTTATTATATTACTATTATTTTTGTTCAGTAGATAAAAATCATCATCTCCATCGAAGATGGATCAACCCTTTCCCCCCCCCCCCCAACTCTTAGCACCTCATCCTTGTCAAAACTAATCCAAATATCAATTAAATTCAAGTCAGGACATGACAGGATGCTAAAAGTTCATATGAGTCAATAAAAGTTTTCCGTCCCGAGACCCTTCCGGATTCTTGAATCCGGTGAATCAAGCTCCTTAAGTTCGATTTCACGACAACACGGAAGGCTGGTTTCTTACCCTTCACCGTTGTTCGCAACGGCCTTGCAACTATTGTAGCAGCACAATAGTTGCAACTCGGAACGTTCTCTGCAATCTGCTGCTGTTTTTCTTCAATTTCGACTTCTTCAATTTCGATAAAGTTGTTCTCGTCAGCGCAACTAATGTAGTTGTTGTTCTTTCACTCGTTTTTTGTTAAAATGGCCATTTCAGCATTTCTCAGAAATGTGACGTCATCATTCGAATTTTTGAAATTTTAAAATACTAGAATATTCCAGCCTTCACCGTTTGGCTAAACGTTCCAATAACGCCCTTAGTTCTTAAAAACCACCAATCCGGAAGGCTTACTGCTAAAATTCCGAATTCTGCAGAGATTGCATTTTGGCCATTCTGGTCGAATGTCACATGTTTCGTTAGCTTTAGGACTCGAGGAAAGTACTGCACACCAGAACAAAGGTTGAGCAGCCAAAAGAGAAAAAAACATACTGCGCGATTTTACGTTTTGACCAGCTGTATATCGTTTTCTTCACACTCCGTGGATTTTTTGCTTTTAACATTTTGATTTTCACAACTATCCAATTTACCTTGATCGCCTAATCTTCAAAAACATGGTCTATTTATTTTTTTACGGCTTCAAAACCCAATGCATGTTAAAAAAAATTGCTTTTCATTCCCCTATGTTTAATTAGTTGTATACTTTATTTTCATAGAACTGTACTGAGTTAAGACCTTTTGGTAATACTCATAGAGTAATTTCAGACCAGGTACACCGTCTGTTTGTCACGCTATCTTATTTTCGGCCGGATAGGTTCGTGCAACTTCTTTGTCTAATAAAAATCTTAATCTTCCTCTTATATCTCCTAGTCTCAATAGATCTAGTGTATACTGAATTATGCGAGTCGGTCTCTCTGGAGAAGGCAACTGTTTTTTTTAAGTTTAATTCAAATTATTATGGTATTAAAACTACAAATAGTTTCAACACTTACAAAGAAGTGGGTTGTTAGTTGATGGAGTATGATTGGTTAGTATTCAATATTTTATAGAGATAAAATATCATAATAATAACCAATGATAAATACGAGTTTAGATCTGGTTCCATAAAGTACAACTAGAAAAGAACTGCGACGATACTGATTGATTCGTCTGATAGGTTCTTTGGAGCAATTTTTGAAACTTGGCTAATCAATAAAGATAGTTTTGAGATACGAAATATACAACCAATTTCTGCTTCACGGGAGCAATAATCGATATATTCAAATCAAAATTAAGCTGTCTTTTAAATTGCGACGAAATTTAACAATTTTAACGAAAAAAAAACTCAGGGATTGAAACTACTATTATTAATTTGGAGAAACAATTTGAACTTTTCAAACCACCTGTCCAACACTCTTGATTATTTTTACTAGACAAATTGGCTCTGAGGATAGTTAAAGCTGTTACATGATTTTCTGACTGTTGCGTAGAGGAAAACACGGCTTGGGGAGAAGCTTTAACTCAATCGTTATCTGAAAGACAACATCTTATAAACATCATATTTACCGAATGACATTCACCCCCACTTGTTATTGGATGTAATCCTTCAGGTGTGCCGGCGGTCGTCGCAGGTGCGTTGATCTGCGGACCTCCAGTCCGGCAAATGGTGATACTGGCGTTGATTTGGGAGTGGTTACTGGTGAACTGTCCTCTTCTTCAGCACCCTGCTCGGTCGTCACTGGGATACTGCTGGTTTCCTCGGGGATGATCGTTGGAAAATGTTCCATGGCATTCGGTAAATTCTTCACTGGGGACAGATGCGGGCTTTTGGGTTCTGTAGCGTCCGTTTGGGCTGGAATATTGCGCCGTGACAAATCTTTCGTCGAGACAGTGTCAATACGTCCATTTGGGAATACCACTCGTGCGAAATGAGGATTAATGACCTCCGAGATGCTGACGGGTCGTACCTGCGTGTCCTCCTTTCCAGATATGCAGGGTTGCCGCTGCTCAGCCACTCTGGAAGAGAGCAGCCTAGACCGGCTCGCCGCGGGAACTTGAAAAACCTGGAATGGGGCGATTCATTTGTGGCAGTACAGGAGTGCACGCACAGCAGCAAGCGCTTCTGGCAACACAGATTCCCACATATCAGCACCTAAATTACGCGAGTGTAGGATACACTTAACCGACTTGAATATTGTGCCGTTGTATCACTCGCATTGGCCGTTACCACGCGGGTTGTATGCGGTCGTTCTCGAATGAGATATGCCATTTCGTGAGCAAAACTGGTCGAACTCGGAAGAGAGAAACTGGCTGCCCCGATCTGTGTGAATAAATGCTGGACACCCAAAGACTGAGAAAAGTTGGCGTAGACATGCTATAATGGATTCGCTCGTAATCGTTCTGCTACCAAATACAAAAGGGAATCTACTGTATTCGTCAATTACGGTTAGGGCGTAGCAGTTACCGGTCTTTCGGGCGGCGGATTTTGGACCGACAAGATCCATGGCCAGTCTCTCAAAGGGTTGTAAAGCTCGAATTATTGACAACGCACCAGGTTTGTAGAATGCCGGTTTGACTTCTTTGCACGTATCACAGTCATGTATAGCCTCCTTTACTTCTAAAAGAGAGAAAGCTAGATTATGACGTCTCACGAACTCCCACATACGGACGATGCCCGGATGCTGCAATTTGCCAATGTAACGTAACACATGGGGATTCTTACGAGATAGCGGAGAGTCTGGATAGAGCGTCCGCGCCCACATTCTCGCTGCCTTTCCGATACATGATGGTGTAGGCAAATTCCGACTGCTCTAACCTCCACCTCGTGAGTTTGTCATTTTTAGTTTTTGACCGGTGTTTGGAGAATATGAACGAAACCGATTTTTGATCCGTTTTAACAACCGTTTTGTATGTTCGAACAAAATGCCCCCACTTCCTAAACGCCTCAACAATAGCCATGGCCTCGCGCTCGACTGACGACTGCATCTGTTCTGAAGTAGACAAGGTTCTAGAGTAGAAAGCCAAAGGGCGACCACCTAGTGATTATGTTGCCCCTAGTGCTGTCCCAGATGCGTCTGTTTCGAGGAGGAGTGGCCCGGCGCCCGCTATAGGTATAGCCAGAGATGCAGACGCAATGCCCTGCTTGAGCGAGTCAATTGCATCGACACAGTTCCGGTTCAAAGGAAAGGCACCCTGTTTCTGGGCCTCTAGTAGCGGCTTTACTTTAAGTGAATATTGTGACACCCATTTCGCGTAGTAAGCAAAGAACCCGAGTAGCCGTTTCAGCTGAGCTGCGGTGTGGGGCACTGGGTACTCCATGAGAACACTTAAGCATTCAGGATCAGGCTTCTTCGAGCCGTTTTCAATAATGTGTCTCAGCAAGGATAATTTCCTGGTTCCAAATGTACATTTGTCCATGTTGAGCGTCAGGCTTTCCTTTTCCGCGGCTTTCAAGAACGCGTGTAGATTCCGGTCATGTTCCTCCTTTGTGATCCCACCGATATAGACGTCGTCGAGGTACGGTTCGGCGCAGCGCAATTGGTTTCTTTCAATAAAGCTATACATTATTCGCTGGAATGCTGGGACGGCGTTTGTAACACCGAATGGAAAGCGTGTGAATTGGTAGAGTCTGCCCCAACCTCAAAGGCTGTGAATGGTTTGTCATCTGATCGCAACGGTATTTGGTTGTGTGCGGATTTCAAATCTATTTTGCTGAAATAGTGAAAAGCGGCCGCACGAGTGAGTATGGACTCGACATCCGGAAATGGGTATGCGTCAACGTCGGTGTATAGATTCACTGTTTCGGAATAGTCAATTACCATTCTCTTCTTGCTTGCTCCCTTGACAATGAAGGGCTGAGCCCGCCAAGGTGAAACAGACAGCTCAATTATTCCGAGATCCAGAAGCCTCTTTTCTTCAGTTTTCATGAAGAGCGCGTTGTCAGCAGAAACTCGTCGAGACTTGGAAGAAATCGGCTTAACGGTCAGGAGCTTGTCAGGAAATAGTGCTGGAGGCTCGGTTGTCATAATTGGGAACATGCTGCAACATGCTTTTGTACACTGATCTCGTTCTAAGCTTATTGGGGGAGTTATCTCGGTATCACGTCCTCCCAGGTGGAAAGTGATAGGTGGTTTTGGACCGCCGAGGTCAAGATAAACCGATTGATGGCTAGCAAGAACGTCCATTCCGATGATCAAATCGGCAATTAACGACTCAACCACGTGTAAGCGACAACAATAAGATTCTGCCTTTATTGTGATTTGTGTGTCGATGAAGCCAAGCACATTCAATTTTATTCAATTTGTCACCGTTTGCTAGTTTGGTAGATGAGTCAACGTCGGTTATAGGCAATTCAAATTTCGTGCGAGCTTGAACTTGATATAGCAATCGGTTGCTCCAGGGTCAATCAGTGCAAGTGCTTGATGAACGCCACCAATCAGTACCTTCTCATAAACGGTCTGTCTCGCCTCCGTGTTGGGAGACAATGCACAGAGGACGGATGCTAGGGATCCTTTGGATTCCTCACCCTGCAACGCGGCTGTAGTTGGAGTACTTGCACGACAAACAGTGGCCCAATGCCCCAACTTATGGCACGTGTCGCGCTTTGCCGGGCACTTGCTGCGTATGTGAAAACGCAAACCGCAGTACCCACAGTTTGAATTGTTTGAATGTGACGCGTTATTTTGGCTTGTGTATCGGCTATTTCGGGGGTACATCTGTGCAATCGCCCCTGCAACCTGTTCAGGCTGGACAGCCGAAACGGAGTTTGATTGTTCCGAGGTTTCAGCGCGGAATGACCTGGAATAATCAGTTGAGAGCTCTACTGCATTAGCGAGTGCTAGGCAATCGTCGACAGATTTGGTGTCGTCGAGTTCGAGTAACCTCGATCGGACATGATCGGACCTCAATCCGGAAACAAGCGCGTCTCTAAGCAACAGTTGTTTATGTACATATGCTGTAAGGGGTTTGCACTCACAGAGCTCGACGAGAATCTTTAGTCGCTTGATAAAGTCAGCAATGCTTTCGCCTTCCTTCTGCCGGCAGGATAGCAGCTCATGCCTCGCAAAAATGACCCGTGTCGGTTTCTCGAACTGCGCGTCCAGGATATCCATGGCGGCGTCAAAGGTCTCCGCGTTTTGTAGCAAGGGATACAGTTCCGAGCCGGCGTGAGACCTGAGGAACGTGAGTTTGTGGGTATTCTCAACCACCTCGTTGATGGCTAGCCCGTCGATGAAGATGCGCTTCCACCATCGCCACTGCTCAGGTGTGGGATTGGTGGGCAGCTGCGGAGGTTTGAACTTCATTGACACTATTGAGTTAAATTGTTGTGTAGAGGAAAACACGGCTTGGGGAGAAGCTTTAACTCAATAGTTATCTGAAAGACAACATCTTATAAACATCATATAAAACAATTACATGACACTGACCGTTGTATCAACTACATTAAATATTTTTTTCAAACACAACATTGACTTAATTTCTGCAACCTAAGGACTCAACCTACGTTCACTTGAAAATCCTACGCGGGTTATAGCCATATCATTTTCTATTGATGTAGGTTAATCCCAGACTAATTTTCGCAATATGATGTCGCATAATTTGGCTGACTATTTCAAATTAATTTAAATTATCACCTTTATTTTTAACAGAGAAAAAGGTGTTTCAAGTTTTACAAGCCCTCTTCGGAAAAGAAGTGTTTTACTCTCGACTTAGTTATGAATTGAATTTTTATGTTGACATGACTTTATATTAAAGATAATTTGTACCGAATGCCGTTTCCTAATTCAGATGATGAATAAGTAACTGCTACTGAAGCTACCCATAAAATTCCATATAAACACAAACCAATAAATTGTTTTCTTCGTTGCTTAGGAATTCTCTTCGTTTTCGTAGGCCTTTTATTACTAGTGGTGATATGGATTGTGCTACCCCTGTTTATCAATTTTTACGATAAACAGGGGTAGATGGCAATGGACACAAATCGTCCTTGGAGCTTCAACATTTGATAAAGTTTCTAAGATCGTCGCACAATGACGCTCTTGCCCATACATTCAATTTTTTTTGTAGTTAATTCACCTTTTGGACTTGTTTTTTTTAGTCGCGAGTTCTTGGTTCGGGGTGAGAGTTCTTGATCTACCTCGTAAATCTTTCTGCTACATCAGTAAAATTTGCGTCCTCTCTTATGTGACGGCTGTCTCTCGGACCATTACTGCTCCGTGGAAATATTATCTTTACCAAGTGACACCTGCTGGATGGGTCTGCTCATCGAGTCTTTGATGGCATCTGTTCAATCATTTTGTGTGGCTGTTTCCCGTGACTTTTGTTCAGGCTCTGAATTCTAATCAGCGCTTTCAGCTGAAGTGATTGCTCTAAAGCGTTCGGTACCTTTATATCTTTGCTGACAACTCTCTTCATGAGTTCAAGTCTATTTTGACTGTGTCCCTTCGAAAAGTCCTCAAAGAACTCGAAGCACTTGCTTCTAATCTCTTAGAAAATTTGTCGTTTTTTCCTATGCCTGCTCTACGCCTTGTGATAGCCGTTCCCTAAAGACAACTGTTTTTTCACTAAAATCCAGTAGTTCTGTTTTTTTTATTATTCAAAAGCTTTTGTTTTAATAGAACAGTATATTTTGATGGATAAATTGCAACACATTGGACATTTAAACTGCAGTTCTACAGCGTTAAAGCGATTTTTTCACTCCAACAAGCCATCGTTTTGACAAGGTGTGCATCGGGGCTCTACTTTGGGCCCTCTTTTATTCCATTTATACTGTAAAGTTTCCGGAAATCATAACTTCAGTATCATGTAAACCAAAGATTGCCGATGATTGTTTTTAATGGACTTGGGCAAACTATAGTAGACCACCAAAATTTTACGGAATTAAAAACAGAAATAGTGCAAATTTTTTTGCACCCCTTGATTAAAAAAATAGCAGTGTTTTAAATTGGAGCAGACTCCCTTTAAAAAACAAGCGCATCGTTTTTATCCAAATTCTTTGTCTTATCTACTTTGATTTTAAACGGCGTTTTTGTACAAACTTTCTCAAACTTTTGAACTTATTGACGGCTCAGCGGATATCAGAAGGTCATTTGACGATAGAAGCTCCTGTGTTACCGTGGAAGTACCACAGTTTCTCGTAGCCTCTACCATTTTTTTGTAAGTAAAAATGGGCTAGGTTCCGATCCTTGGTGCAGGCGTACTTTGTTAACGAAGTAATTACTGCTTCCTTGGAGCCGGTGAATTCTGGTTTTCAGCAGTTGGATGCCTCTGTAGTCACCACATTCTAACGGATTTTATTTTTTTTTAAAAAAACTCACCATTTCACTTTCGCTTCAGTCGGAAGGGGTTAAACCAGAGTCCAAACTTCCTTAAGGACTTGAAAAAGTCCAGGAAGTCCACCATACGCTGAATATTATATCATGTCCAAAGTTAGCCCTGTTGGTCCTGTGTTTTTTCTTTTTGTCATATCTCTTAGTGCAAGTGCCACTTCCTGAATAGAAATTTCCTCCAATGGGCCAACCACTGCAGGGATATCTAATTCAAACGGCATAAGAACGGCTAAGCCACTGCGAGATAACATCTTGGTCACTGTACTTGATTTGACTATTTGTTCATTTAATTTCCGCATTTTTTTTTCTAACTGGTTTTGATTATTGGCAGTAAATGGGAATTTTAAGTTAAAACTCAACCACATCTTGTCTGGGCTTAGTACCACAACCTTCGTCCTTGATATCCTTCTAGTTTTGTACACAAACGTTGGTGTTAAAATTAAATCAATCTGGGTGGAGTTTTTACCCCTCTGAAACGTACAGTAATCAACTTCGCATTATTATTTTTAAAATGTTTAGGACGGCTAATTTTTGTGACTTTCAAAAATTGATCTCTGTTCTTTTGAGTTTTCAGAAATTGATCTGATCTTTTGAATTTTGAGTACCAAAACAGACTGCAGACCAAAACACTGACCGTTATATCAACTACATTAAATATTTTTTTCAAACACAACCTTGACTTAATTTCTGCAACCTAAGGACTCAACCTACGTTCACTTGAAAATCCTACGCGGGTTATAGCCATATCATTTTCTATTGATGTAGGTTTATCCCAGACTAATTTTCGCAATATGTCGCATAATTTGGCTGATTAATTCAAATTAATTTAAATTATCACCTTGATTTTTAACAGAGAAAAAGGTGTTTCAAGTTTTACAAGCCCTCTTCGAAAAAGAAGTGTTTTACTCTCGACTTAGTTATGAATTGAATTTTTATGTTGACATGACTTTATATTAAAGATAATTTGTACCGAATGCCGTTTCCTAATTCAGATGATGAATAAGTAACTGCTACTGAAGCTACCCATAAAATTCCATATAAACACAAACCAATAAATTGTTTTCTTCGTTGCTTAGGAATTCTCTTCGTTTTCGCAGGCCTTTTATTACTAGTGGTGATATGGATTGTGCTACCCCTGTTTATCAATTTTTACGATAAACAGGGGTAGATGGCAATGGACACAAATCGTCCTTGGAGCTTCAACATTTGATAAAGTTTCTAAGATCGTCGCACAATGACGCTCTTGCCCATACATTCAATTTTTTTTGTAGTTAATTCACCTTTTGGACTTGTTTTTTTAGTCGCGAGTTCTTGGTTCGGGGTGAGAGTTCTTGATCTACCTCGTAAATCTTTCTGCTACATCAGTAAAATTTGCGTCCTCTCTTATGTGACGGCTGTCTCTCGGACCATTACTGCTCCGTGGAAATATTATCTTTACCAAGTGACACCTGCTGGATGGGTCTGCTCATCGAGTCTTTGATGGCATCTGTTCAATCATTTTGTGTGGCTGTTTCCCGTGACTTTTGTTCAGGCTCTGAATTCTAATCAGCGCTTTCAGCTGAAGTGATTGCTCTAAAGCGTTCGGTACCTTTATATCTTTGCTGACAACTCTCTTCATGAGTTCAAGTCTATTTTGACTGTGTCCCTTCGAAAAGTTCTCGAAGCACTTGCTTCTAATCTCTTAGAAAATTTGTCGTTTTTTCCTATGCCTGCTCTACGCCTTGTGATAGCCGTTCCCTAAAGACAACTGTTTTTTCACTAAAATCCAGTAGTTCTGTTTTTTTTTATTCAAAAGCTTTTGATTTAATAGAACAGGATATTTTGATGGATAAATTGCAACACATTGGACATTTAAACTGCAGTTCTACAGCGTTAAAGCGATTTTTTCACTCCAACAAGCCATCGTTTTGACGAGGTGTGCATCGGGGCTCTACTTTGGGCCCTCTTTTATTCCATTTATACTGTAAAGTTTCCGGAAATCATAACTTCAGTATCATGTAAACCAAAGATTGCCGATGATTGTTTTTAATGGACTCGGGCAAACTATAGTAGACCACCAAAATTTTACTGAATTAAAAACAGAAAAATTGGAAAAAAAATGAGGCTCTCGAAGTACTGAACCATGTGTATTACAAAATAAGATTCAATGTACCTTTCATTCAGTGTTGACAAATGATACGCCCGTATAGCGTTTAAACACAATTGTATTTGGTACCGGAATGATAGTTCTTACCCTATCTCGTGAAAATTTTCTAAATAAAATGTTTTCCTTTTCGCAGCGCGTTCTTTCCAGCCCTCGCCGTTTCTCCGACCGTCACTGCTTCGGGTATTGTTTTCTTTACCAACTGATATCTGCTGAAAGTGTCTTTTCCATGAGTCTATGATACAATCTGTGTTAGGATCCCCCCATCTGGTTGAGTTTATTGTTCATATTTCTGATCTCCTCTCTAGACCTTTTTAATTGTTCCCCGAGTTGTACACTCCTTATTCTCAGCATTCTGTAATCAAGGTATTTTTCGACATCCTCAGTTTGATCATGGAGATCAAGAAAACTGACCGTCAAAATTTGATTGGGTGATAGAGGGTAGCTTTGATTTTGCTCTCGGTTTCTCTAAAAGTTTCGATGAAAACCAAATTTGCTTTTAGTTTTGTCAACTAGTGTACCTGGTACTTGATGTTGACGTGGGTTCAGTACTATGCTCTCAGGTTGTTTTTTCTTACGGAAAACAGCAGCGGCTATAAACTTATTTGATGGAATCACCGCTACCCATGGCCTTAATTACGCCTCCTCAGCTCATGTAACGGTTTTCACCCTTGCTCTAAAACGTAGCTTTATTGATGTCCTTGAGTACAACTTCTTCCTGAGTTCAAGTCTAACTTGACTGTGTTTCGCTCCCTTCTCGAAGCACTAGGTGATACCGTAAGTTCTGTGACATGACTGAGTACAATTTCAGTGCCAATTGCTGCAAATCTAT